CGCGCTCCGCCGCTCGGAGCCCGGCCGGCGTCCAGCGACGACTTGCTGGACAGCGACGGCGGAGGCGACGGCGGAGGCGACGACGCCGACGACGCCGGCGGACGGCGGTGGGTCAGAACGAACCCTGGAGAGGTCTGGGGAGTAGAGGTATCGTTTTTGCTTCTGGACTCCGATCGCGGCGCCCGCCGCAGCGTCCAGAACCGCCAGACCTCGGAGATTCCCGACTTGTCCCGATCCGACGTTGTGCTGTCCCTGTCTTCGTTTGAGGAGTACCCCTCCACGAGCGGCGGCCATAGTTCGGGAGGGAACAAAAACACACAGACACAATTAATCGTCGATTCCCTGGAAAATATTGGAAAGTATCCTGGCGAAGGTCCCAAACATATGCATTTGTGGGTACCGTAATTGTGAATATCTACTTCGGTGAAGCTCCCTATGGGGCCACGAAGCGCTGCACTGGGCTGGGGGGAACGCTGTACTGTGCGGGTGGTGTGCCGAATTGGGTTTCCGGGACGCATGCGGACGCTCCCATTGAGGACTTCGGTGGAGCTCCCTATGGGGCAACGAAACGCTCTACTGAGCGAGTGAAAATGCCAAATTGGGTTGCCGGGACGCATGCGGACGGTCCCACTGGGGGTTTCAGTGGAGGCCCCTATGGGACCACGAACGCTACACTGCGCGGGTGAAAATGCCAAATTACATTTCCCGGACGCATGCGGACGGTGGCACTGGGGCCTTCGGTGGAGCCCCCTATGGGGCCACGAAACGCTGCACTGGGTGGGTGAAAATGCCAAATTGGGCTTCCGGGACGCATGCGGACGGGGGCACTGGGGCCTTCGGTGGAAATCCCTATGGGGCCAAACACCGCTGTACTGGGCGTGCGGGACTCATGCGGACGGTCCCACTGGGGGTTTCGGTGGAGCCCCCTATGGGGCCACGAACTGCTGTACTGCGCGAGTGAAAATGACTATTTTCATTTCCCGGACGCATGCTGACGGTGGCACTGGGGCCTTGGGTGGAGCCCCCTATAGGGCCACGAAGCGCTGCACTGGGTAGGTGAAAATGCCAAATTGGGCTTCCGGGACGCATGCGGACGGTCCCACTGAGGGCTTCGGTGGAGCTCCCTATGGGGGCCATGAAGCGCTCTACTGAATGAGTGAAAATGCCAAATTGGGTTTCCGGGACGCATGCGGACGGTCCCACTGGGACCTTCGGTGGGGCTCCCTGTGGGCCAAGAAACGTTACACTGCGCGAGTGAAAATGCCAAATTTCATTTCCCGGACGCATGCGGACGGTGGCATTGGGGCCTTGGGTGGAGCCCCCCTATGGGGCCACGAAACGCTGCACTGGGTGGGCGAAAATGCCAAATTGGGCTTCCGGGACGCATGCGGACGGGGGCACTGGGGCCTTCGGTGGAACTCCCTATGGGGCCACGAACCGCTGTATTGGGCGTGCGGGACCCATGCGGACGGTAGCGCTGGGACCTTCGGTGGGGCTCCCTATGGGGCCACGAATCGCTGTACTGGGCGTGCGGGACGCATACGGACGGTAGCACTGGGACCTTCGGTGGGGCTCCCTATGGGGCCACGGAACGCTGCACTGGGTGCTACCGTGGGTGTGCGCGTGTGCGGGACGCATGCGGACGGTGGCACTGGGGCCTTGGGTGGAGCCCCCTATGGTGCCACGAAGCGCTGTACTGGTTGTGCGGGAAGCATCCGGACGGTAGCACGGGGACCTTCGGTGGGGCTCCCTATGGGGCCACGAAACGCTGTACTGGCTAGGTGAAACGCAGGGAGGAGGGGGAGGAGGGCCACGAAACGCTGTACTGGGTGTGCGGGACGCATGCGGACGGTAGCACTGGGACCGTCGGTGGGGCTCCCTGTGGGGCCACGAAGCGCTGTACTGGGTGGGTGAAACGCAGGGAGGAGGGGGAGGAGGGCCACGACACGCTGTACTGGGTGTGCGGGACGCATGCGGACGGTAGCACTGGGACCTTCGGTGGAGCTCCCTATGGTGCCACGAAACGCTGTACTGGGTGTGCGGGACGTATGCGGACGGTAGCACTGGGACCTTCGGTGGGGCTCCCTATGGGGCCACGAAACGCTGCACTGGGCGTGCGGGACGCATACGGACGGTAGCACTGGGACCTTCGGTGGGGTTCCCTATGGGGCCACGAAGCGCTGTACTGAATGTGCGGGACGCATGCGGACGGTAGGGAGGAGGGGGGGTGCACGAGAGGAGGGGAACGCGGGGACCGTCTCTTCAAAACGAGGACCCGACACCACAGGATGGTTGGGAAAAATCCCCTGACTAGTTTTGACTATTTTGGAATATTCCCCCTGCAGAGGGACAGGCCCGACTTAAGAACAGGTCCCCGAATAGTCTGGGGCGGTCTCGACGCGCCAGCTCTGGGGCGGGGAGCACCCCCGGGGACGCCGCTGGAGGCGGCGCCGAGATGTCAAGGCCGGGCTGGACTGCTCGGGGGGGCTGGTTGAGGCCAGCTGGGGCTACTCAGGAGTTCTGTTGCCCCTATCTTACTGAAGGACCACGTCCCAGAAATAATTTCGAGCACCCAGAAGGGTGTCGAAATAGTGTCGAAATAGTGTGGAAACAGTGTCGGACGAGTGTCTCCCAGGGCCCGGCACGTGAGAACCTTCGAATTTCGCTACTTTTTTGGGCCGGCCGCTCGAAATTCTTCCTGGTGATCAAAGCTAAAGTAGGCTGGAGCGTCATAACCCCCGAGTAGGAGTCCCAGTTGGCCCGAACAGGTCCCCGAATAGTCTGGGGCGGTCTCAACACGCCAGCTTTGGGGCGGGGAGCGCCCCCGGGGACGCCGCTGGAGGCGGCGCCGAGATTCAAGGGATCCAAGGACACACAAATAAATACACACAAATAACGAGATTCCCCATATGTTTCTATATCTTTTGGGGTTTTCGTGTCCCCCCCAATTCCCATATTTTCCCATCTTTTCTAGGGAATCGACGATTCATTGTGTCTGCGTCTTCTTCTCCCTCCTGAAAGATGCTGAGGCTGGCCCGGACTACTCGGGGGGCCGGTTGAGGCCAGCCGGGGCTACTCGGGAGGCCTGCCGAGGCCACCCCAGGACAACCCTAAACCCTAAACCCTAAACCCTCAAGACGAAAAGCACAATGCATTGGCCAGCCCGAACGACAGCTAGACGAACGATGCAAGGAACCAGCGACGGTGCCCCAGCCCCGAAGCGGGTCCGAAGCGAGCCTGCTAAGCGCAGGCCGATTCAGGCAGCTGCAAACCCCGCGAACGCTAACACGTAGTGTAAACCCAGGGTTTCGGGTCTAGGGTTTACCGACTCCCTCCGCGACCTGTTTTTGTTCCTGACCCCCCCCCCCCCGCATCCACGCCCTCCGCTTGTTCGGCCTCGCGCCCCTGCTCCCCACGCCCTCCCGCGCTCCGCTTTTTCCACGCCCACCTGCTTCGCATCTGCTTTTCTCCCTTCGGGAACTTTGGGTCGGCTGGGCGAAGATAGTGCGAGATTTGAAGCATTCGTTTTGAGAACCAGTATATTTCGCACCTGTAGTGGGTTATGCCGCGTCTGCCAGCGAAATTCTCAGATCCATAGCTGCAGTATTACTATCAAAACGCTTGGCGGAACCGACTTTTGATGAAAACTGAAAAACATACCTTGAAGGGGAAGGGGGCGTGGGGTAAGAGAGCAGGTCAGACAACTCGAAAGTGAGTCACAAATCCTGAAAACTGTGGGAATTCGATGCTCCGGGCTCCCCCCCCCGCTCGTCGGCGTCCGCGCCCATCCTCTGGCATCCGCACCTTTGTCGGCATCCACACCGTCCGCTTGTTCGGCATACGCCTCCTTGTCCCCCCTCCCACGCTTCTCAACATCCGCTTCTTCCATGTCCGCTTCTCCTCTTCCTTCCCCCCCCACTTCTCGGCATCCGCGCCCCTGCTCCGGCATCTGTCCGCTTGTCGGCATCCACCCCCTCCGCGTGCTCGACATCCGCGTCCTGTCCCTCACCTCTTCCGCTCCTGGGGACACCGAAAGGTACCGACACCGCTACTCCCCAGAACTCTCCTGGGGTGCGTCCTGACCCGGGATCCCGAAGCGAATCGAGCGGGGACGACCAGGGCCTCCCAAGAGGCCCACAAAGGCGAAAGCGAGAGAGGGGTAGCGGTATGGATACCTTTTCTTCCTCCTCCTCCTCCTCCTCCTCCTCCTCCTCCTCCTCCTCCTCCTCCTCCTCTGGGCACGCTCCTCCTCCTCCTCCTTCTCGCCGCCTGGCGGAGCGCGCAGAGAGGGGGCTGGGGGGAGGGCGAGGGCTTCTCAAAGGCGCAGAGACCTTGTCTGCAGACGCAAGGCCCGCGCCCTCTGCGAAGCAGGGGTGCTTCTGAACTGACTACCTACCGGGTCGGGCGAAAGGGGGGGGATAGCAAAGGGGGGGGTCTGAGAATCAGCTCACGTAGCTGATTTCCCCGGCGCCCCCCAGCGCCGGGAGGCGCCCACGTATCGAGGAATGGGCCCGGCGGCGGGGCCGAAACCAGCTGCATGCAGCAGATTTCGTAACCCCCCCTTTCCAAAACCCCCCCTTTCGCCCGACCCGAACCTACCAGACCACCCCAACCCAACCCGAAGACCCGAATTTCGGGTTGGGGGTGTATGGGTGGTATGGGGCACACCTGTGTTTTTTCTATGTTTCCCGACCCCCCCCCACTGGAGATCGAGGGTGAATCTGAGCCTTCGGGTTGGGTTGGGGTGGTTTGGTGGGTGCTTCTGAACGGCCCTCCCCCATCGCTCCTGCCCCCCTTCTGCGCGTGCCCCACTCGTGCGCCGTCCGTCCACGTACACCCCCCCTGGCCAGGGCCAGTCCGTGCCTCTGCATCGGCGGATGCGCCTTCGTGGCTCTGCCGACCAAGGCGTGCAAGGTTGCCGACCCGGGGCCTGCCACTGGCCCGGCAGGGATCGGCGCACGCGGGTGGATTGAGAAAGCGGCCCCAAGCGGCCCCCTCTCCCCGAGTCCTTGTCGGGCATTCGCTTGTTCGGCATCCACTGTATCCACTGCCGCAGCGTGGCCTTCTTCGGCAGCACCGCCGCGGCCGGCAGGGCGTGCGCGGCGCTGGGCGCGGGCGCGCTCGGGGCCGCCGCCGTCGCCCGCCGACCACCGCGCCCGCTCGAGAGCAGTGCCTGGAAAGGCATCTCTCCGCCGCAACCAACACCAGATGAAGAAATTACAGTCGGGGCGTTGACCTAAGGAACCCTGAATAAAGAACGAAGCCCCTTCTTTCCACAAGTTGAACTTCGATGTTCCATCGAAAACCTACGGACAACCGAAGGCAAATTGTGAAACAATCAAAGAACACGGAGCCCCGCCCCAACGGAAAAAAATCCTTCTTCAGCGCCCTGACTGTACCTCAGCAAAACACACGAGAAGGCGAAGCCGGGACGAGGGCACCATCCGGGTGAGGGTAACACGGGAATCTCTGAGAGCCGGCGGCTCTACTGGAGGACGTTTCGACCGCCGCGGCCTTCTCAGAGCGCTCTGGATGGACCGCTCTGGGAGCGTTCTGGAACGCTCTGGAACGGATTCATCCTCGTCCCAGCCCCGTAGCAACAGGAAAGGTGAGCAGGCGGGGCGAGGGAGTAGGAAATCGGCTAGTGCACTAAGACCGTGGCGGTCCGGAGCAAACATGGGATGCTTGCATACATGGGTTGGCGAACACTTTAACACCTCATGTTGCTCGTCTTGGCGACGCGAAAGGGGCGAAGACTGGGGGGGGACGATGGGAACCTACGGACTCCATGGATCCCATTCCCAAACGGTCTTCGACACATCACGTCATGTCTCTCTCGGCCTTCCCGTGCACGGGGACACCAAAAGGTGCCGATACCGCTACTCCCTGGACCTCTCCTGGGGTGCGTTCAGACCAGGATTTCCAGGCGAATCCAGCGGTGGCGACGAAGGAGGCCCAAGAGGCCCAAAAAGGGGAAAACGAAGGGAGGGTAGAGGTATGGGTGCCTTTTCCTCCTCTGAGCGCACGCGCTGGCATGCTGCTTTCTCTCATGGGGTGGTGCAGCTGTACTACCTCGGGCCGCGCATCCTGGCGTGCTTAAAAAAAGGCACGGGAATGCCCGAACTCCAATCCAAGGTTCACCGGGCGGGCGACGAAGACCTCCTCCTCCTCCTTCTCCTCCTCCTCCGCGCTCGCGCCTCCGCAGCTGTCCTGGTCTCCCCGCGTGGGAGCAGCCTGAGTGGACCTCATGTGGGCCCATCTGGCCAGGCTTTGAGGCCTGGCGGTGGCTTACCTTGGGTAAGCTTCTGGAGAGCCTTGGTGCCACCGTCTGTTGGTGGTGCACAGGGCTCCCTGAATTTCTTGGCTGCACGGATGGTCCATGCTCCACATCGGGAGCACCAAAGGACACCATTCAACTTCTTGATGAACGGCCCGTGGGACGGGTGGAAACGGTTGTGCGGCCCTGGGGGGGACGCAGGGGTCTTAAGCCACCTGGGTGTTCCCTTGATGACACTACCTTGCTTGCCACAGGCGCGACAGGCAATCTGGAAAAAGGGGAGGGACAGGAGCGGCGGAGAGGGAGTGGGGCGTCCTAGACAGCTCAACCTGCAAAGCTGCTACACTGCGCTCCACCCTCACTTTCCTACGGTTCTCCTTGACATCCTTATCCTCCTCGAGGCCCAGTGGGTCTTTGTGGCTCCAGTAGTGGCTCTGGACTGCTGCCAATCTGTCTCTGATGAGATCGGCGTGAATGTCGGTGCCTTGGAGATGCCGAACGAGGGGTCCTGGGACTTGACGCCACTGTGCTGCTTCCGCAGCGAGAATGTCGGCGTGACCATTGAGGTGTAGGGCCCAGGGAGGCTCTCGAGCGCCTTCTTCTTCCGTGGGGTGGCTTTTCACTTTGTAGAAGATCACGCTGCCCCGTCAGTTTTTGGCCTGGGCCCAGAACTTCTGCCACGTGAACTGATTCTTGGGGTGCCGAAAACGAGGGCCTCTGTTGAAGCCCTTGATCACATAGGCACAGTCGATCACGATAATGAGGCGGCCGCGCGTGGGCTCCAGCAGCGCAATGACTGCCTCGAGCTCCGCCAGCGGCGCTGTCTGCGGGCCGATGATGCCTCCCTGGACGGTTCCTTTCCAGGTGAGGTCGTGTGCCCACAAGGATACGCTCCAGCCACAGACTCTGATGCGCGGGTCCTGCGTATGAGGCCCTCCACTGCCGTCTGTAGCTGCCACTTGCCAGTCATCGAACTGATAGACCGCATGCTGTTCAAATACTCCTTTCCGGACCGTGTCCTGATCTAGTCCCAGAGTGTGCCCATGGACTTGACTTATGATCGTGGCGGGGATGATTCCTCGGAGCCAGAGACTGGGTTCCATTGGGGACTCGGCCACTGCACGATCGATGGAGCCCTGGGTCCGATTGATGGCGGGGATGTTGAGACTTCCCATTTCAGGACACGTCCAAAATTTGTGTAAATCATCTCCGTGTTCTTGCCCGCAGAGAAGACATTCGGCGTCATCCTGTTGGCCGCTCTCAAACCTGCGATGGGCGCTCCAGCACCTCGAGCAGGAAACGGCCTCTAAAGCTGCTGGGTAAGTTGCTTCTCGCTGGAGTTCCTCCTGGGCCTGAACTTGTTGGGCTCGGGGGAGGGGGTACTCGGCTAGCTGCTTCTCTCGCTTCTTGATGGCGGCCCGCTTTCTGGCAGGGTATAGCCGCAGGGAGTACACGTCCCCCCCTCCTGGAGGCCTCCAGAGTTATGGCTGAGGGGGTGGGTTGCTTTCCACACATGCATGTTCAAGAGGAACTCCAAGTGAAACATGAAAACCTTCTGGCTGTCCCAGCTTAGCGGCTTGACGGGGAAATCGAGGCCCTCGGGGTCCCTCCAGAGCCATGCCGAGGTAGGGGTCCAGCCTAGGTCGTACAGGGTGGCGATGATCGCGGACATGTGGGACCTGACCATGAGCCACCTTGATGGTCTCTTGAGCTTCTCCCTTAGAGTCTCCCAGGCCTTCTGGATGCCTCCGAGGATGCTGAGTTCGGTATTGATAACCCGAAACCACATCGTGAACAGTTGGACCCGTAGATAGATCCCTGGATCCATGTTAGATGGGTGCCCTGGACGGGTATGGAGGCCAGTGGTGAGGCAGGCCCCTGCTTTCGAAACTCCATGTGCCGCTCCCGCCAATCGGCGGAAATACTGGACTTCGGTCGGTGCTGATCCGTGTCCCTCCATGCCCCACTTCAGCTGCGGTAGAGCGCCTGTGCGGAAAAGTGATCGCGCCTTGGTTGTAGTCTTGGCCAGCTTCTTGATGTTCTTGTGTCTCTGCACTCCGAGACGACGACGGGTTCGGCGGACTCCCAGGACCCTTTTCTTCCCGATCGTAGTGTCGACCCCCAGGTCCCGAGCATGCTGAACGGGTCTGATCTGGACCCCTGCCTGGTTGAGTTCGTCGACGACCGTAGTGCGGATGTCGTTGGAGCTGGCCAGGGCCACAGACTTACCAGAGAGACGGCATCCTAGGTCAGCGAGTCCTCCACATAACTGTATGATGAGCTCTGGGAAGGCTTCCTTCAGGGCCTCTGGGCTCCCCACAAGACGGACCCTGATGTCGTCCACCCAGGTTCGGATCGTGGGCCTTGGGATCTGGTAGTGGGCTCTCTCGAGGATGTCGTACAGGAGGGCCCTGGTCCAGGAAACGCTTTGTCCGCACCCTTGGAGGATTGAGGCCATCGGGATGAGGGGCTCGCTGACTCCAATCGGTGTCGTGAGGACTCTGGTACACGTGTGGACCATCATGCCCAGTGCCAGTGGGACCACTGGGTAGCCTAGGGCGATGGCCTTCTCTGCCAGCTTGTGCCGGCGGATCGCGTCGAAAAACTTTTCGAGGTCTAAAACGCCCTCGATGATGGAGCACTTGAGAGAGCTGCTAATCTCTGCAAAAAGCTCGCTGATGAGGGCTGCTCTTAAACAATCGCTGCCTTTGATAGCTGCGTCCCAGAAACCTGCCCGCGCCTCTTCCCAGGAGGAGATCTGGCCCTTGAATAGGCGCATGGTGACACGGTATGGGGCGTTCGTCAAGGTGATGGGGCGGTCGCTGACCTCTGTCTTGGGTTTCAGGGCCACCAAGTTGATTAGGCACTGGGCTGGAAACTGCTGCATCCTACACGTATCATTGATAATGTCAGTGAGGATCTCCAATCCTTCAGGAGGGAGCCGACGGAAATCTGCTACTCGCCACTGGTCCGCTCCTGGTGCAGAATTGCTCGAGAAACTTCTGAGGGCCTTCTGAACTTGTGCTGGGCTCCAACTGTGAGAGGGGTCCCAAGAGTCCATTGCTTGCTGGCGTAGGTCTTGGAGCCAGGGGGCCTCAAAGGGCTTGTCGGGGATGATCTTATCTGGATCCCAGTACTGCAAGCAATACTCGCTTTTGTGGTTCAGGGCCTTCAGGGGGTCGATGATAAAGTCCCCGTCGACCGAGCTGAAAACGCCATTGTCCTCTTCTGGAGCGGGCCCAGGGACCTTTGTGACGCGGTGTGCGCCGCCGCCCCCGTGGGCGAGGGAATCGTGGAGCCAGGTCTTGAATGCAGTCTCCTTCTGCATCAAGGCTTCCTTATCAAAGTGCTGAACGATCAGCTCGAGCTGGAAACGTGCATCTGGCCACGAGGTCGTAGCACTTGCGCCTGCAAGATATGACTGCACCAGAGTCTGCGAGGCTGGCACAAGACCTGGTGGCCACGCTGGGTTCGCCTGGAGGGTGGAGGTGAGGTACCCCTGGATCCTCAGGAGCTCTCTGGAGGCCGGATGGTGTTGGAGTAGATGATCCCGTTCTTGGGCCCTCTGCTGGACCACCCCCCACTGATGACTTTCATGGTGAAGTCGATGCTGGAAGGGAGTGGGGGGAAGGATGTCTCTCCAGATGACCTCGAAGCCGTCCCCTCGACTGTAGCCTTCTTGGGTGCCTGCAGGGGTCCCAATACACCAACCTTCGAGGGCCCGACTGAGGAGGCCGCACTGGTGGGCAAGGGTTTGGCTGGCGAGCTCTTCTGCGATAGGGAACTGCACCTGCGGCGTCTCGTGCTGGTCTAGCTGCGCCTGGTGCC